AAGAAATGGTTTTTTGGCATCTTTTTGGTGTAGATTAATAGTCCTTTTCTCTTCTATTATTAATTTCATTTTACTCTTATTTTTTCGCCCCCTAGGTCCCGTTTTAGTCGTTGAGCTGTGCCCGAATATATAAAAAAAAAATTGCTGAAACTGTAAATTTACTGCTTTTTAAGTTTAACCACATTTTCCCTCTACTTAAAAACCCTACCCATAATTGAACAAGTAATAGTGTTGGTAATTTTATCAATTCAAATGCTCGAAAAATATAAATTTCTGACGGAAAAGCTATAGAATATTTTTTTCTTCTCTTTCTTCCTATAAAAAACTCAATATTTTTACTTCTTACTTTTATCCTCTTCGCCACTGATTGGCTCATTAGCTGCTTAGACGATCGGTCGCGTCTCTGTTACGCAATGTTGGCAAGGACTGGGCATGCACTGGTATAAGTCGGTGTAGCAGAAGCCATGATAGAAGACCTCACCAGCCTAACCTTACCTAACTTCCTAGCTGTGGGGCTCTTCCCCGGACCCCCCCGCATATTAAAGAAAAAGAGCTCACTATGATATGGTGTAATTTTACATTTTTTGTGGACACGAGAGCTGCTCGATCCGTGCAACTCATAAAGTACACTGAGCGCAGTCCTCGATCGGAGTGCAGAGCAGGGAAGTCTTTTGAAATGTGTCAATATGATTGACTGTTTACATACTAGGATGAGACGTTGCCACCGCAGTACCACCAAAAAGACAAAGTAATCCGGGTGGGGGTGAACCTCACGGCTAAGACGTTAGATAAGGTTAGACAGGGTTCTTTGGTTAGTAAGGTGGGGTGCCAGTGAACATAAGAACATAAGGAGTCTGCAATAGGCCGGTTGGCCTGTGCATGGCAGCTCCAGTCGAGAGTTACTACCACTCTCTATGATCCATGAATCTATCTAGCCTCCTTTTTGAAACTTTCCAGAGTTCCAGCAATTACTACAAAGTTGCTAAGCTTGTTCCACTCGTCCACCAACCTATTTGTGAACCAGTTTCTTCCTATCTCCCTCCTAAACCTAAACTTATCCAACTTAGATCCGTTCCTCCGAGTCCTATCCTGTTCGGATATTATAAGAACTTTATCTACATCCCCTTTATTGATTCCTTTCACCCACTTAAATACTTCTATCATATCTCCCCGCACTCTTCGTCTTTCTAGGGAATGCAAGTTAAGTTTCTTTAACCTATCCTGACATGGAAGGTCTCTAAGTCCCGGAATCATTTTCGTCATTCTTCGCTGCACCGATTCTAGTGAATTGATATCCATTCTATAATAAGGGCACCAGAACTGAACCGCATAATCGAGGTGCGGCCTGACTAGCGCAAGATATAGTTGCAATAAGACCTCTGCACTCTTATTACTTACACTTCTAGATATAAAACCCAATACTCTGTTTGCCTTATTTCGAACATTAATGCACTGTTTGCTAGGACGTAGGTCCGGGCTTACAAGTACCCCTAGGTCTCTTTCACAAGTCGACTTCTCTAGGTTGATGTTGTTAAGGCTGTATACATTGTCAGTATTTGTTCTTCCAATATTAAGTACGCTGCACTTGCTGGTGTTGAATTTCATTTGCCATTTTTCAGACCACCCCTGCAGTTTATTTAGATCCTCCTGTAATGCATTTGCATCCTGCCCTGAATTAATCTGCCGCCCTATTTTGGTGTCATCCGCAAACTTGCTTATGTCACTGCTGATCCCAGTATGTAGATAGTTGATGTAGATTATGAACAAGCGTGGGCCTAGTACTGACCCCTGGGGAACCCCACTGGTTACACGGCCCCACTCAAATTTAACACCATCTACGCTGACCCTCTGCGTTCTATCGGTGAACCATGATTTTATCCAATTTAAAACTTTCCCCTCGATACCATGAGCCTTAATTTTTCTCAGAAGCCTCTGATGCGGTACTCTGTCAAATGCTTTGCTAAAGTCTAAGTAAATAACATCGTAATTTTCGTCATTATCTACTACCTCGAAGACTTTCCTAAAAAACGTCAGCAGATTTGTTAGACAAGATCTTCCTTTTGTAAACCCATGTTGCGAGTCGTAGATTAATTTGCTTTTCTCTAGATGCGATCGGATGCTATCTGCTATAATTGATACAAGAAATTTCCCCACTACTGACATCAAACTGATCGGCCGGTAATTTGACGCTGATGCTCTGTCTCCCTTTTTGAATATGAAGTTGGCCCTTGGTGACTTCAGCCTAGTCACAGCGGTGATCTCGGTCCACATAGGATGTGGGCCGAGATCAACAATGATCTTAACAGTCAGGATTTAAATATGAGGCTGGTTTTTTTCCAGTTATAAGGAAAGATAATCAATTTCTATTTTATAGAAGTCCCTAATATACCATTTTTGCATTTTCTGTGCCGTTATTCATTCTAGAAATCACACTTTATGTAGCGCTTCTTGTCGATTTTGAACTTCCGATTCACAAAATTCAAAGTTTACTTCTTTTAATATCGGGCTGACACCTCATTTCTACCACCACTGTGCTCACAAGCGGAAGTCACTAGCAATGGCTTCAAGCAATACCTGCATTGCTTGTGAATTGGAAGTGTGACACCAACAAGAAGCACTACAGTGCGACTTCTGTAATGCATGGCAGCACGGAAAATGCAATACAGGGATATCAAGAGACTTCTATCAAAAAATGGTTAAAGGACAAGCTGAGGTGCACAACACAGCTCAGTACACTGCAACCCTAGATGAACCAGACCCCCTCAACGAATCTTCGCTGGTTGATCCGGAACCCAATGCAACGACTGCAGTGGTGGTGGAGATAAACTTTTCGATTCCAGCGATTATTCATATACAGTTAAGAGGAAATGTGCCAAGTCCACGACATTGAGATGTTCTCAATGATCCAGACTGATAACTGTGCAGCAACTGTTCGTCAGATTGGTGACCAACTCATTCCTGGACCCCAAGACCACACTCATCAGACAAACTTGGGATTGGATTTTGCTGCCTCCATTGCTTTGTAAGCAAAACTAACTGTAAATCAACAGCCATTCACTTCAGCTGCAGACATTGCCACTGGAATTTTTCTAGAATGTCTTCCCTCATGACCCGGTAGTGCAATTAAGTCAGTTGAATATGTTGCTCACAATCCAAACTATTACCGCCATAAGCACCATCCATAACATCCAAAGAATCTGGCTTTGAAGTGGAGTCGCAACACATTGCCGAGAATTTCTTACGGGGTGACATTCGGGTTGATGACGCACGGCACTAATTTTTCGCAACAGATGACCAACTTCAACTGCTCTCCAGTGAAAAGACATGGTAAGATGATGCCACATTTTACGCAGTTAGAAAACCTTTCTATCAGTTATTCACTATTCAAGTGTTTGTACGCTATAAAGAAGCAACAAAACAGCTCCCAGTCATGCATAGTATTATATCTCGTTACCGGAAAAAAGACTAGGTTTCTGTGATTAAAGTCATCATTGATATGCTTCCCAGTGGCCCATGTGTGATGGACTTTGAGAAAGCTCTCTGGTGTGCTACAAGTTCTATGCTTCTGACTGTTGAAATAAAAGGGTGTGCATTCCATTTTACTCAAGCACTCTTCCGGAAAATACAAGAACCTGTATTGCAAACTCCCTACTCATCAGATGAGGGAACTCACAAGCTGCTTCGGAGGGTCATGACACTTTGTTTTATTCCGGAACAATATATTCTGGGGATGTTCGAGGGATTAATGGCATCTGTGACCTCAGGACCGCTTCTCGAATTTGCGGGGTACACCAAGAAAACATGGATTAACAGTTCTATCTGGCCACCTAAGTACTGGAGCATATATAAGCTAAGTGTGAGAACTAACAACGGCGTGAGGGGTGGCATAACTGTCTGAAGACGAAAGGAAAGGCACAGATATCCTTTTACATGATGATTCGGCTCTTACATGAAGAAGCAACTTTAGTAACTACAGTACTCAGATTCGTCTCGTGTCTGAGGGAAAACTGTAGCGGTACCAACGCCGAACCTACAAACAAGGGTTTTCTCCGTATGGGAAGATTATGAAAATGGTAGGCGAAGCGCCCTGCAACTTCTCTCTGCAATATTCAGACTGTATGGCCCATTAAGAGTAAACTGTATATGTATATGATTTTAAATCCATGTGCTTAAAATAAAGTTATAATAAAAAAGCCCCAAAAAGCCTGACAGTTAATACCATTGTTGACAACAGCCCATCCTATGTGAGGCCGAGATTACCGAAACAGGCCGAGATCAAAACTGTAACTGGGCCGAGTTCACCAAGGGCTGACTTCACTTGTATCCAGTTGGTGAGGTCTTCTAACAACGCTTCTGCCACTTGTTTTTCTTATGGTTAGGTATAAGTTTAATTTAGAAATAACCAATTTTAACAAATTGTCCATAACTACAAGTGTCCACTATAAAACAGTGAAATTGAGGCGTTTTTAAATTCGTTTGGTATGAAATATGTGGCTGTGAAGCCATGGGCCAGTAACCACCACCTTCTAGGGCCAGTAACCACTACCATCAAGGGTCATGGGCCAGTAACCACCAACATCTAAGGCCATTGGCCAGTAACCTATCGGTATCTTGAGCCATGGGCCAGTAACCACCACCATCTAGAGCCATGGGCCAGTAACCACCACCATCTAGAGCCATGGGCCAGTAACCACCACCATCTAGAGCCATGGGACAGTAATGTCCTCAAACAAGGTAAGGTACAGTATAATATAACTTGTTAAGTATTTAGCGTCACCGATCTTGCTCCATATTTTGAAGCCATTTCACTGACATGTGAGAAGAAATTACTGGTATAAGGTGAGGTGATGTTAAGTGCTGATAACCAGGGCATCAACTACAGTAGTTATAAAGGGCAAAATAGGTTCCGTGTACAATAACAATATACACGCGTCCTTTACCTCAATCAATATTACGTATTTTCCACTTAAAAACTATTCAAGCCATGTCCTGTCACTTACCTTCTTGTCCTTGGTTTAAAAGAAATCTTTTATGACTCCATCAAAAGTCAATCATGGCTTTCCTACAACGAGAAAGGTATAAACCATTAAGTGTTTATCAAAACATTGTCTGAGCAGCCATAACTACAGTGGTGCGCATCTCCCACTGAGCAACGACAAGTGAGCCGCCACACGCGTCTGCCTTCCTCATACTGTTTATACGCTTTTGTTATTTTGTGTTGTATTCTCTAGGATTGATGACAATATTCATACTCAGACTATAGTATTATCAAATTTTAAAAATACATTTCCAAAGCCGTATTATGAGTTTTCTACAGTATGTGTGCTACTTTCAGTTAACTAGAGATCAAGGAAAGTATGTAGGAGGAAGCATGTCTCTCATACTTTATTTTGAGGCCTCCGATTGGCCCGCCATCTAGTGGCTAGGCGCCACTAAGGAGAACGATTTTTTTTATCTTTTACGAGTAAACTATGATAGAAAATTAATATTTAGCGAAAACCGCGATATATCTATTACTCACAATTTTCCTTTCGATTAATTTCATGTACATTAATTATTATTGTATACAAGAACATAACTTCTGCATTCCCTTTTCCTCCTCTCTTCCGACCTGATAACTCTATAGCCAACTCTCCCCCTGACAAAGCCAATCTCTTTGGCACCTTATTCTCCTCTAACTCCACCTTAGACGATTCTAACTCTATCCCTCCTACCCCTGATCCTCCTACTGAACCTATGCACTTTCCTATAATCTCCACTCGTAGGGTTGCTGGTGTGTTATCCAGGTTGGATGTAAGGCGCATGGACCGGACGGAATACCCCTACGTGTTCTGAGGGAGTGTGCTGAAGCTCTGGCCCCTGTGCTTGCTCGCCTCATTCGCCTCTGCCTCAAAACCCAAACTTTTCCTTCTTCTTGGAAGTATGCCTTGGTTCAGCCCATCCCAAAGAAGGGTAACCATTCTAATCCTTCTAACTATCGCCCCATTGCCCTAACTTCATCCCTATCTAAGATTTTCGAAACTATCTTGAACTCCCGTTTTCTCCGTCACCTTGCACGCCATTTTCTTTTGTCGGATCACCAGTATCGCTTTCTCCAGGCGAGATCTACTGGTGATCTGCTCTCCTACTGCACCCATCTTTGGTCATCCTCTCTTAGGGATTATGAGGAAACTTTCGTCGTGGCCTTCGACATCTCAAAAGCATTCGACAGGGTATGGTACAAGTCTTTGCTTTCTAAATTTCCCTCTTATGGTTTCTCTCCCCCACTTTATTCTCCAATCTCTAGCTTCCTTGAGAACCGATCCATGGAAATTGTTGTCGAGGGATCGACCTCTCACTCTTTCTCTTCCAACAGTGGTGTCCTACAGGGCTCTGTTCTTGAACCTACTCTCTTCCTTCTTTTTATCAATGATTTACTTCACACTACAAGTAATTTTTTTCATTCTTACGCTGATGATTCTTCGCTTCACTCTTCTTCACATCTTCCCCTTCCCCCTAACTCTCAAACTAGATCTGTTTCTACAGCTGATATCATTACTGTACATCTATCAATGCGGATCTGTGAAGCATCTCCTCAAAGGGTAGTAGAAACTTGGTTAAATTCAATCGTAATAAAACACAGTATTTACCAATTATACTTTCCAAATTAGATGATCTCCCACCAATCACATTTCAGGACGCAATGATTCTGCCAAATTCTAAAATATATATGCTCGGCCTAACCATTTCCTCTAATGTGTCATGGAAGCCACATACCCTCAACATTTTACTTTTATCCTCTTCGCCACTGATCGGCTTGTTAGCCGCTTGGGCGATCGGTCACGTCTCTTTTCCTTTATATTCTTCACCAAAAGGTCGGCTCGCTAGCCGCCCGGGCGATCGGTCACGTCTCTGTCACGCACTGTTGCTAAAACTGCCTCCCGAAACTGGAAATGCTGTACAGAAGCCGTAGCTACTTCACTCCTGAGCAGTTGCTTCAAGTATATAAGGCACTACTCAGTCGAGTGTCTTTACTTGGAGATGGCGGACGCTCGCCCCACAAGGGGTCACAGCTCAAGATTGAAGAAGCCGCAAATCCAGAAAACTGTGAGGGCAAACTTTTTCGGAGTGAGGGTTGTGAACTCTTGGAACAATCTGCCAGAAAGTGTTGTGACGGCACCGAATGTGAGCTCTTTCAAGACAAAACTTGACCAGCACTGGAGCGGGTTCAGGTACTTTCAGGAGCCGGTGCATGCCCAGAACTTGCCAACAGTGCGTAACAGAGACGTGACCGATCGCCCAAGCGGCTAACGAGCCGATCAGTGGTGAAGAGGATAAAAGTAAAAGTAAAAGGAGTACTGCTCTCATATCTGGGGTGGCTCTTCTTCTGTCCAGCTGTTAGATAGGGTGGAATCAAAGGCATTTCGTCTTATTAACTCTCCTCCTTTAGTTGACAATCTTTCTTCCCTTTCTCTTCGCCGCAATGTTGCTTCACTCTTTCTCTTTTTCAGGTACTTTAACGGGCAATGTTCGGTGGATTTGGCATCCTGTGTACCGCCGGCAAGGCCGTGGGCTCGTAACACGTCTTGCCCGCTGTGCCCACCATTTCTCTGTGGATGTCGGTCACACTAGAATAACCTGTTATAGTACATCGTTCTTTCCTCACACAGCCAAACTGTGGAATGATCTGCCTTCTTCTGTGTTTCCACACTCATACAATGTCTCACTTTAATAAGCTGGTTTTCCGGCATCTTCGAGGTGTAGATTAATGTAACCTTTTCCTTTTCTATTTTGAATTTCTTTTTATTCTTACCTTTTCGCTCCCTAGGCCCCAGTGTGGGTCGATAACCTGTGCCCGGGTAGGCTATTCCCCGTAAAAAAAAAAAAAGATCCTGAGGGATGCCTCCCCCTATAATCAAGTTGAGGGATTTCCTATATAATCATCCTACTGTACACTTCATAATCTTCTGTTAAGGTCAACCTATTGGTGATCAGAAACAGTTACAGGATAAAAGTACAATATGTTTTTTGGTTATGATTATGTTCAAGGGCACATTTCTAAGAGTCTAAAGTCATTCTCCTCTTCAATCACAATATACCCATGCCAGTGGATTTGATTTTTATATACATTATATATCATAGGAATTCTATTCATGTAAGGATTAATTGGAGAGGAACTTTTATGTTCCTTATAAGTATTTTATTCAATATTTATAAATAGTCTTAAGACTACAAAACACTTTATTTTATTTAAATATGCTACATAATCTACAGTAACTAATTATATTAAATTGAATAGCTATGCTATCTTTACTGTCTAACAATTATATTTACTTGTTACATATTTTTTGTCAGTTCAAGACAGCAAATGTAAGAACCATTTACAAATTAAATTAAGAACCATCAAATTAAAAAGGCATAAGGTACAGTACGTACAGGCAAAATATAAGCATACTCATGACAACCAGAAACAGCAACAATTAAAGCATAACATGAACAAGTGCACAACAATTACTAATGCACATTCTTAAATACCCCAAATAAAAAGAGGCATTCATGCATAACATGCTGACGAAAACAACTACTGTACTACTGTACATAGTATAAGCAAAAGCGAAAAACAGCCATGCAAAACAAAATTGCTTAAGACAATCATATACAACAGTACCCTGTATGCTGCATGAGATTAGGTCAGTATTGTTGGATGTCCAAATCATAAATTTCTACATTATACGGTGAAACATTTATCATTACCTGGTGCTGATTTCTCTCCGGTGTACATATTGAGTGGTATGTGTAATGAAGTGAAATTTAAATATTTAGCATTATATAAATTAAAGTTTTCACTCTCGATTTGGTCAATGAAAAATGCCGAGCTTACTCTGCCCGCTACCTAACGAGCTACATACTGTCCAGGGGAGTCTAGTGGCAGCGACCTTATAATTAAGAATAGAGTTAAGTTATCCTCTTGGAATTAGTGACCCCAGGATCGGGCAGTATAAATTGGTGAAGAGGATAAAAGAAAAGGAAAAGTAATCAGAGACGTGACCGATCGCCCAAGCGGCTAACGAGCCGATCAGTGGTGAAGAGGATAAAAGTAAGTAAAAGTAACACGTATTTGTTAATTTATTGCTAAATTATTGGGTTAATTCATGTTCATAATTTTGATAGCTGAAGTATTCCAGGAAAAAATCTATTCAAGGCGACAATTTTTACTGGGAGTTTTAAGCCCTTCATTGTACATTCTAATACCTGTATAAGCAAATAGTCAAGCACACATCCCTTCAAATTACCTGCTAAATGAATAAAAAAAAGTGAGTACCTGTAAGTACATTTACCATTACCAGCATGTCCATCACCACCATCAACACCTCCCACAGGATTTGAAGTATCTGATGGACCATCTGTTAATTTTTTTTAAAGATTACTCATCATAGTTCAGGTTCTGTATCAAATAATAATTAGTATTGCTTCTGTTAAGGAACACTGATACCTGAGCAGTGATTGCCCATTATGCACAAGGTTGGCTAAGATTAACTGTGTTTGGGTCCCATGCTTATACCCAAAGGTAAAAGACTAGTCCCCAAACACAACATGTATAATTAAAGGCCGCGTCCATAGTCCATTTATTGGCGAAGGTGACTTGGGGGTCAGACACGTCCTCACAGCGAGGCGTCTCAGCCGAAACTAGCGGACCGATACACTGTTGCCAAACCGGCACATACCCCAACAATAGCAATAAAGTTAAGAGAAAAATAATACATCATCTAACTTGTTATTGGAAGTGCAGTTGAAACAAGGCAACAAGCAGCTGAAGTGGTTGCTACAAACAACATGAAATGAATACAGTATTGGGGTTTCTCAGCCAAGCTATCCATCTGGAATGATGGACTTTCTAGCATCAATTACCTCCAGAAATTAAGTTGGACATGAGAATGATTACTGATACCTTTGTCAATAAGTTGTGCTAGGATGTTCACAAGATATATTATAGAAGGTTATAACATTACCTTTTTACCTTTAATATAAGCTCCAGATGAAAGTATGGGTAAAGATGTAATATATAGCTTACACCTGAAGGGCCTTATTAATTTTGTTCATTTTTGCACAATTGTTTCAATGCTGATACTGAATAATGTATATGATCAGAGAAATGTGTCCCATTAACCAACACTGGAGCGGGTTCA